TGTATACCGTCCATGTAACTAATTTTGAATGTTTCTGTTTACGATTGCTGTTGCACCATGTTCGGGGTCCTACATGATATAAAGACCTTAAAACTGTCAACGGTCAGGAATGCGCAACTTATAGAGAAGCATGTGAAGCTCTGCATCTTTTAGAAAACGATAATCACTGGGATGAAACCATGGAGGAAGCTGTGCAGTGCCAGTCACCAGCCAAAATTAGGGATCTTTATGCAACTCTCATATCATCTTGCGGGCTATCTAATGCACATGAATTGTGGGACAAGTATAAAGAGTACATGGCGGAAGATATTTTGCGAAGGTTACAGCAGACACACGCGAACATGACATACAATGAACACATTTATAATGAAGCACTTGGAAAAATTGAAGATAAAGTAATGGCAATGGTAGGCAAAAAATTAAGCGACTTTGGAATGATAAGCCCTCAGCGAACAACCGAAAATGAACGAAGTGATGAAATTATACGTGAAACAAACTACCAGCTTTGCAGCAGCAAGTAGCCGAATTTGTACCCCGCTTGCTTCCCGAACAAAAACGAGTTTTTGACAAAGTATTAGCACAAATTGAATCTGGAAATGGTGCACTTTTCTTTTTAGATGCCCCTGGAGGAACTGGGAAGACATTTTTGTTAAATTTATTATTAGTGCAAGTACGGAAAGATAAAAACATTGCTGTGGCCGTAGCTTCCTCCGGTATAGCCGCCACGCTGTTAATCGGGAGCCGCACTGCACATTCTGTTTTAAAACTCCCTCTAAATCTAGCCCAGGAAGAATCGCCGATCTGCAACTTTAGCAAAAATAGTGCACGAGGTATAATGCTACGACAATGCAAACTTTTAGTGTGGGACGAAAGTACAATGTCGCATAAAAAAGCTGTAGAAGCACTAAATCGAACGCTCCGGGATTTGCGCAGCAATACCGATGTAATGGGAGGAATGGTGGTTTTACTGGCTGGTGACTTTCGCCAAACTTTACCTGTCATTCAAAAGGGCACACCTGCAGATGAAATTGAAGCATGCCTCAAGTCGTCTATTTTATGAAACAATGTGACAAAATTCAGTTTAACTACGAATATGAGAGTGAATTTGTATAATGATGTCAATGTTGGAAACTATGCTGATACACTATTAAAAATTGGCGATGGCCGGTTGGAAACGGAGGGCTGCGTTAAATTGACGAGAGATTTTTGTAATTTAGTACAGAGTCATTCCGAATTAATTGCGAGCGTTTATTCAGATTTAACGAACAACATGCATGAAAACAAATGGTTATGTGAAAGGGCGATTCTTGCACCAAAAAATGAGAGCGTTAACAAAATAAATTCAGATATATTAAGCGAAGTAGCAGGAGAAATAACAGAGTATTTGTCAGTAGACACAGTTATGGACACAGAACAGAACACTTCATATCCCGTAGAGTTTCTAAATTCTCTAGAGTTGTCAGGTGTGCCCTCACATAAGCTTCAATTAAAATTAGGCGTCCCAGTCATGCTAATGCGAAATTTAGATGCTCCTCGGTTATGTAACGGGACAAGGCTGCGTGTGACACATCTTGGACGGAACATAATCGGTGCTACAGTTTTGACAGGCGAAGGAAAAGGTGAAAATGTTATTATACCACGGATCCCTATAATTCCCACAGATCTTCCTTTTCAATTCAAAAGGTTGCAGTTCCCTATTAAGCTCAGTTTTGCAATGACAATTAATAAAGCGCAAGGGCAAATGTTACAGGTAGCGGGGGTAACAAAACCGTGCTTCTCTCATGGTCAGCTGTATGAGGCATGTTCGCGTGTGTCAAATGCCTAGAATCTCCACATTCTTTCCCCGAATGGAAAAACATATAACATTGTGTACAGTAGCGTCTTAAAATAGTGTTCAGTTAGTTTTTTTTCCAAAATTCCCACAATCAATTAATCAGAATTCCCACAGATCTTCCCTTTCAATTCAAAATTTCCTATTTAGCTCAGTTTCTTTTCAATTCCAAATGTTGCACCTCTGACGGACCTTTTAAGCTCAGTTTCCTTTCAACTCAAAAGGCTGCATCTCTGACGGATCTTTTATTTGGCTCAGTTTTCTTTCAATTCAGAAAACTGCATCTCTGACGAATCAATTTAGCTTAGTTTCTTTTCAAAAGTCTGCATCCCTGACGGATAATTATGCTCAGTTTCCTTTAATTAAAAAAATATCCCATTTCCATTTGGAATAAACAGGCTATTTTCATGCTTTCCTATACGCTGCGTTTCAAAACATTTAAATAGGCTAACGAATCAATTTTGCTCAGTTTCCTTTTAATGGCTGCATCTCTGACAAATCTATAAAACTCAGTTTTCTTTCAATTCAAAAAGCAATGGATAGTTCATTTCCCAGTGACCATGCGGGCGAAGCCGCGGGTAACAGCTAGTTAAAAATATACTAAAGTATGGGAAAAAATATATTTTTTAAATACTTGAAATCTTTAATATATAAAAATTAATGTTTGTTTGGTAGTATTTTATGCACTGCCATACTGTTCATCAGATTGTGATAAAACTTTGTCAACTTATTGCTTACACTTGCATGAAGGTTATAGGCATAGTACAATTAATTTATTAATAATTTAAAATACAAAATTGTTTTTTCCTAAACCACTCAGATTAATGAATAAGTGGTCATAATTGCTCACTTTGAATTAAGCATTTTGTGAGCAATCATGGGCAATTATTCATTTAAAAAAAAGTTTATTGGTTTTAAGTATAATAGACAAAAACAATTCTGTATTTTAAATTATTAATAACTATTTAAATAATAAATTAATAATGTGAGCAATTGCAGATTTGAATTGAGCATTTAGTGAGCAATTATGTGCACCTATTCATTAATTTGACCAGTCATACTTCCAAGCCAACTTCTTTGTGCTCAGGTACCTCCTATAGTGTAGAGCTATAAAGTATGGTATTATATTATATAATATATTATATATTATATTATTTATATTATGGTGGTGCGCGTATCGTACTGACAATTTTATTTGAAAGTTATATATGTATATCATTCAAATTCAATGAATGTATTATCATTCCATATCTATACAAATAAATAAAATTGAAGTGTCTGTTTGTAATGTCAAAATTACAGTTTTTTACTAAATGCATATAATTTTTGTCTGTCTGTTTGTTCCGGCTAATCTCCGAAACGGCTGGACTGATTTTGACGGGACTTTCACTGGCAGATAGCTGATTTCATAAGGAGTAACTAAGGCTATTTAATATTTTAGAAAAAGAATTAGGGTTCCGCTCGAAAACATAAAAACCCTAACGCGGGCGAAGTCGCGAGGAACAGCTAGTAACACAATATAACTCTTCCAAATTTAAAACGATATTTCCACAATTATATTTTCTGCCGCAGCAACGCGTCGCGCCGGGTACCAGCTCGCACATAATACATTTTGTATTATAATTTATTATATATTTTTTAAATGAGTAATATAACAGAATTTATTGGAAATTACATTAATGTACCAATTGTTTATAACAAAATCGCCACGATTAGCCGATGATCTTTAGCCGGATGTTGACATCTACACCTACTTCCTTGGATTAGCAACCTTAACAAAAATGTTCATGCACCCTAAAATTTAGTATATTTTCATAGATATCCAGTATTTGGTCATTTTAAATAATATGTTAGTGAATGAATAGACCTGAGATATTTTTTCTTTTTAATATTGAAAATCTTTATAGCGCACTAGGATTTTCTCCTGTATCGTCGAGGTAGTTTACATAAATTAATTTCATAAGGACAAACATCCAGACCCGTAACAATTATTTGTAGGCCATACAAATACGTGTTCCGTGCGAGATTTGAACCCGTGGCCCCAACTCATTGCCAAGTTTAGCCATATTGCTATGGAGACTGCGAATTTTATCGATAACTAATATCGGCGTAGTCACAATACTGTCGCTGCACTATTTATTGAAATCGTATTGACAAAAAAAAACATATAATAACATGTTATGGTTAAATATTCGTTGACACATGTAGTTTGATATTCTGTCCATTTTTATTCATGTTTCTTTGGAAAAACGAAAAAAATTATACGTGCTTGTGGTACGAAACACCTCCAATAGAAAAAATTTCCTTTCTGCGTTCATTTGCCATTCTAATATTGCACAAAAAGGTATATTTGTGCATACATCAATTAAGCAGCGACTCGTCAGCTGGCGACAATTTATGCATGCGTCTGAAAGTGACTGATTTGTGTTTGCGACATGCCTGTCCCGCCCACTTTGAGCTTCTCCTATTTTTTTTAAGTTCCGTGGTCTAAATGAAATGGTACAGGAAACAAGTATTTCACTTATGGCACCTATCGCGTAACTGCAGAATGTAGCTAGCTAGTATTAGTATTATATATTAGCTAGAATTTGATTTAATCGCATAATATCATGAATATACTCTCTATACTGATATGTTATATACGTGGTAGATAGCACGAATGGGTCGGCTCGACCGGGTAAGGACCACACTCTCACAGAATACCAGCGTAAAATAGCAGCATAACGCTACTGTGTTTCGTATGGTGAGTTAGAAAATCGGCGACCCTTTTTACTGGAAAAGAGGCATTCCATCTTATTTCTCACGGGTAACAACGCATCTGCATTTTGCTTCGTTAGATGTAGATGCCTATGTACTTACTTGTATCAGGTGGACTGTGTGCTCTTTTGTCATACTTATACTAAAAAAAATGTGTCGAAAACGGGAAAGCGGACAGAAACGCGTCTTCGTTATTTGTGTTATTTCTTTTTAGAGTAAAAAAAAATACAAATAGCTTTTTTTAAACATTGCCGCTTTCAGCCGAAACAAGCAAACATAAACACACTGGAATGCCACCATCAGACCGTAGACGTTTCATTTAATGACGCAGTCTTTTATTTTAGTTATACTCGTACACGTAACAGATAACTGATTTTTAAATTCTATGTATATGTTTTATTAAACAGGTAAAATGTTCACGGACAAAGTGGTATTGATAACTGGAGCCAGCTCTGGAATCGGGGCAGAAACAGCAATTGAATTCTCAAAGCTTAACGCTAAATTAGTGATAACTGGAAGAAACAAAGAAAACCTGGACAAAATAGCTAAGCAATGTGAAGATGGTTCTCCAAACAAACATAAACCATTGGTTGTAATTGCCGACATGAACGTTGAAGCTGATGTTGATAGCATTATAAAGAATACATTAGAACATTTTGGCAAACTTGATGTCCTTGTAAATAATGCTGGAATTTTAGAAAATGGGACAATAGAAACGACTAGTTTAGAACAATACGATAGAGTAATGAACACTAATGTTCGAGCTCCTTATTATTTGACAATGTTGGCTGTCCCTCACTTAGTGAAATCTAAAGGATCAATTGTAAACGTCTCTAGTGTTACTGGTCTGCGATCATTTCCTAACGTTCTGGCTTATTGTATGTCAAAATCTGCTTTGGACCAGTTTACGAGATGTGTAGCATTAGAGTTGGCTCCCAAGGGTGTCAGAGTTAATGCCGTGAATCCTGGTGTAATTGCAACTGGAATTCACATGAAATCAAGCATGAATGAGCAACAGTATGAAGAATTTTTAAGGAAGTGTGCCGAAACTCATGCATTGGGTCGTGCTGGTGAAAGTAAAGAAGTTGCATCTGTAATAATATTTTTAGCCAGTAATGCAGCAAGTAATATTACTGGCGCTACACTCCCCGTAGATGGTGGTCGTCATGCTATGTGTCCTCGCTAAATTCTTGTAGCTAAAGATTATGAGATGTTATATGTATATACTTATTTAAATAAAAAAAAAAAACACTATCATACTTAATTTTTGTTTAATTCATAATCATAATTAACAATAAAATCATTTGGCATTTCAGAAATTAAAGAAGGAATAAATGATCACCCTTTTTTTGTTTAATCTATTTTAAAATATTTTTATATGAAACTTATTTTAAAATATGTTTGTTATGTATAATAATACTCGAACTTAATAAATAAATTGGCGATCGCCTTTAACCCTTTGCGACACATTTAATAACTTGGTGAGTGGTATTTGCAATAGCAACAGATGCTTTTATAAGACCATTGCTCGTGCAAGTAACAATAGAATCCAAAATATCATCAGTAGCGGTTCTAGAGTCAGCTCTCTGCAAAATTAAAAATAAATAAATATTCAATCATCACGGTGTAAGGTTATTGATTTTTTTTATTGGTCTGAGGTTATTTATATGTAAAATAGTATTTCTAGTATTTATATATGAGATTTTTGTATTAGGTATATGTAAGTTATTTTTCCAAATGCCAACCTTATACAGAATGGGGTCCCACATATATGCAATAAATTAAACCACAAGTAATACTAGTCCATAGAAGTGTAGAAAAATTAAATATTAAATTAAAACCCGTAAAATTAAAAAGTGAAATTTTCAAACAAAATAAATATTAAAATAAATTCAGTAAAAGTAAACACTCTGTTTAGACTACGTACCTTGACCCCTTGGAAGAGTGGCAACGTTGCACGCGGGTGGCATGGCGGTTGGCGGCAGGCAGCGTTATTGTTTGTCGGCACGGCCTATGGTTCGTTGGACAATGTGCGACGAAATAAAAACTTACTCACTAAACTGTTTAGGTATTTTACCGCCACTTTTTTATTTCGCGAAAATGGAACTGAACGAAATAAATATTATTGCATATTAGTAGCAAAATTTAATGAAACCCTAAATTTTAACATTTTCGAAATCGTTCTTGAATGCACAAGTTACATCGCCGCATAATGTTGTTCTGAAGCTTGCTCAAAAAATTTCATTCAGGATCCAGAGTCAGGGCTTTTAATTTGTTATAGGCGGCAACAATACGATTGCGCAGTTCATCTTCGGTTTCGAAAATATTTGAGTACACTTCATTTTTAATAAAGCCCCATAAAAAGAAGTCTAGAGGAGTGAGGTCAAAAAAAGTAAAGTAGTGTCAATATCACAGTGAAAAAATAAACGTACTTAAAACACTATTTACACACACAAAGTCAATTAACTAATAAGTGTCTATTTCACCGTAAAAGAATTGTTTCACTAATTGTATTTATCTTATGATAATACGATAAATAATTACGATGCGCGTAGGCAGCGAATCGCACCTGTATCCTGGAACAATTGCGCGTGAACTGGAAGCTAAACTTCCAAATTCCAAAATGGCGAAAATAATAAAAGTAATAAATAGGGCGGCCACAAGGTGCAATAATCGTTTATCGATACTTTTCTTTTTACGCTTACTTACCTACTACATTTGAATACAAGTAATTTTGATTTTTGATTTGATAAAAATCGACAAGTTATTGATTGTTAAAAAAAAATTATTATTGTACAATTGAACTTACGAATCTACCGATTTGTGACTTCCTGGGAAACGGGTAAGTATGTATAACTTTTTAATTGGTTGTTTTTATGGGTTTTTTATCGTGTTAAAATAATTTATTATCTCTAAATCTACAAGAACACACTTAAACAAAAAAAAGCTTTAAAGTTGAGCTTTAAATACTTAGGTCGTAGTGTTTTTAGGATTATCATAACAACACGATAATTCTAAAAAACCATACCCTAAGTGTTTAAAGCTAAACATTTTTTTTTATTTATCGATTATGACTTACTCCCTTTGAAAGAAGCTAATCGTCGATAACAGGTGTCCCACTCTACGAAAAAGGCGCGCGCGCAGTTGCGCCGTCGCCTTTGAAGTACGCCGCGTGCCTCGTGCCGCTTGTTTATGCACGCCGACAAAAGACACCGCTGTCGATACGTCGCAATACCAATAGTTTGCACTGCGTGGCAACGTCGCTTTTTAATTTTCAAGGATTCAAGTTCATTGAATCATTGACTTAGTGACCCAATTCTATAGAGGGTTCAAATTTGCTTAAAATTAAAACTCTAATTTTTGACCTAATTACTGGGCCGATTATGTTCATTTTTTGTATATCGTCAGCAAAGGCGATAACAAGTATGTGGTTTAATTTATTGCATATATGTGGGACCCCATTCTGTATATACGCTGTGCACCCTGGTAACTAATCTACAGAGAAGATTCTAGCGATTGCTTAATTGCGGTATATTAAGTCAAAAGCGCTATACCACACAGAATATAGAGATTTTCTGTTATGTTAGTGCCAAATGGCTAACACCATTTGGTTTTTGCAACTTCTGACTCGGGTATTGCAGGCCGCGAGATGTATAAAACCAAAAACGCTTTGACAGCGCACAGGGGGCAGCATTACTAGTATATGTGTCGGTTCTTCGTATAGTAAATATAGGCAAATCTTTCCAACAATGCTTGCACATTCCTGGAAAGTTCTTTCATCATACATCTATATACAAATAAATAAAATTGAAGTGTCTGTCTATCAGTCTGTGATATTGAAATGACTGTCTTTAAATGAGCTGAGGGGGGTTATCAGTATGTCATTAAGACATAATAACTACGACCTGAAACTTCACAAACAGATTGAGGGCAATGTCAAGAGTGATCTGGGCTATGTTTTGTCGGAAAAACTTTTTTTTGAGAATTTGACAAATTGACGAAATAATTGGTTATTGATGTTAAATAAATTGTTTATCTTAAATATAAATAATGACATATTAATAAAACCTACCCAGGGAAAGCCGGGACGGGTTACTAGTTAAGTGTAAAAATGCGGACTTACGTTTTGAAGTATTTCTTTTTCCTCACGTTCTAAATCGTCAAAGGCAGTCTTCCTTACATTATTGAAACATTCCTCAGCATCTTTGTTATCAAGGCACTGGTATAGTTTGTTCTCTACGTTAGTGATATATTCAGTTTTATCAAGTAATACATGTGGCCTAATAGATGATTCCAGAAGAGACAGAGTATGAAAACTTATTGATATACAAGTAGAAACATTTTTTATTATCTGCTTTAAGATTTCATTGATCGCCTTCTGCTCATTCTGCAATAAAATTTTATTTGAAATAGTTTTCTATGTTCTACTATCAACATATTGACAAGTATTTAAACATGATGTAAAAACGCAGTCTTATCTTTATATATAAAAATTACGTGTCACGTTGTTTGTCCGCAATGGACTCCTAAACTACTGAACTGATTTCAATGAAATTTTTCACACTGTGTGCATTTTGGTCCAATTTGAGAGATAGGATAGTTTTTATCCCGCTAAGTGACCCTCAAAATTTTTTATTGCGAATTTAAGGATTTTTATAGGAAGGGTTGTCGGAAAGGGCAGAATAACGTCTGCCTGGCGAGCTAGTATAATTATATAACACACAAATTTGAAATGCAAATGTGTTTAGGTATATAAAGTTTTTGAAAGAAAGTACCAACTTTAAAAATGTACATACAATCATCATTATTATCATTACATCTTGCGCTTGCTGAACATAGAATGAATCTCCCATAGAATGCCTTTTTGGGGTGATATTTGCCATAGTTGCCACGCATTTTGAGTTGTTACCAGGAATATGCTGCTGTCCATCTACTGTTTCAGTTTCCCTCTGTCGCTTTTTACCATACCCACGGGATGATATGGAGTAGTGGATTCTCTTACGCTACCACGAACATGTCTTACAGCATGTTAAAATAATCACTGATCGTAACCTTTTCTATATTATAGCTTTTGATATGACTTACTCGAATACATTTTTTCGCAACTTGCCCCGTAACATTTATCTCCTCAATAATCTTCTTTATATTCTCTTGCATTTTCTGGATTCTATTTTTAAAATTTTCATTAACCTTTTTTGCCCTAATTTTTACGTTTTTTCTTTTATTTTTTCTGCTGTACGATTTGCCATTAATCTCATGGTCTCCCATGTATTTGTAGCGCTCTTTTTCACGCTATTCCACAAATCTGGAAAGGCTTGTAATTCTGTTGGTTGATTTAGTCCATCTTTTATATCGTTGTTAATTTTTTCATAACCATGTGTATCCTAAAAAGTAGAACGTATTATATTTTTGCTCTCTGGAGGATGAACCTCTTTTCATTTAATTTGAATAATTTAAAACTGACTTTATTATGAAATTCATTGTTTTATATTCATTTTACTATCTAACTATCTTTATTAAGTATTTCCTATTAGTCGCTTTATTTCGTTAATAATACTGTAACTATTAGTTATTGAAGAGCGAAGACCCTGTCCCTGTTACAGGCATTATTTTGCTTACTAGGTGACTTTGATCATTGATCATATTATAATGTAACTTTAATGTTTGACAAAATATTTTTTTTTATTTCGAGAGCGGACTGCGTAAATAACTAAAAAAAGTTAATCACCTGATACCATATTATTAGAAATGATAGGAACAATATATAACGCATATTTAATAAATGAACAGGTCGAGAGCCTTTAATAGTTAAAAACCAACAGAATAATGTTTCAGGTCACCTGTCCTTTTATATCTAGATTTCTTGAAGTTGGATTTAAATAAACAAGTGTTTATTTATAAAACTTATTGGGGACAATATAATATTTATTTTGTGCTATTATCAGTGTTTATCCCAAGTTACATCAAAATATTGATTTAGATTGAGTTGTCTATGTTTGTACTTCACTTTACATACAATATTTCAAGAGTTGTATTAATTGTAAAATCGTAAGGATCAGTCAGCATAAGTGGAAATGAAAGTTTCTCGAGTGCAATGAAGTGATAAGTAAGAAACGCATGCGGGTAGTTCAGGACCTCGTTTTAAGGTATTCCTTGAGACGGACCATGTTCAGCAATGAACTTGTGAAAAGCTCCAAATGACAAACCAAGTGGTGTTTTTGTTCTATGGGATTGTGAAATGATTAATAGTTGTTTTTATTGTTATTTTTATTCGTTTGTGTTGATACTTCATATCAAGAATGAGGGTAAAAAATAGATCAAAAAAAAAAATAAACAAATTTATTAACGCTGTTCTAAAGTATTAAACGCTATGAAAATGTTTTCAACAGTATTATGTCTTCAGTTTGCGGAAGTAAGGGACGAATATATTGATGACGCCGAACAGCTTCCTATATCGATCACTATTTTCGCAGCGCCGACACCGGCTTCCATCATATTAGAACCAGCGCAAATTTCAAATGCTGCTGGTAGCATGCCTATCGCGAAATTAATGCGTGCGATCTGAAAGATGAAAAGGAACTGTTATGTAATTTTTTATGTGCGTGATTGCGGTTTTTTTAATAGAATTATAATGATAAACGAGCACTCAGTCCACCTGATGGTAAGTGGGTACTGTGACCCATAAATATCTACATTTATGCTCGATTAAGAATCAAAAATGCAAATGTGTTGCATCCTAAGAAGTAACATGAAATGCCTGATTCCCAGTAAAAAGGGTCTCCGGTTCTCTACATTCACCATACGAATCAACAGCATTAAGCTGCTATTTTACGCTGGTATTCTGTGAGAGCGTGTTCCCACCCCGGTTGACATGACCCATGTGACAGTATGGTCCTACCCCGGTCGAGCCAACCCAAAAGGGTCTCCCTTTTGGGTTGGCTCGACCAACCCAAAAGGGAGACCCGCATGTACCCAAAACAAATGTAATAAATCTATTTAGCATTGTACCTTTTATATTCCGTGTACCAGTTCCTATCTGAATCAAAAGTAAGACGGATTGCGGGCCACGGGTTCGAATTCCTTACAACTATTTGTACGAGTATCGTCTTTAAATATTAGTTTCAGGTGTAGTTTTTCCATATAAACTATTTGTATAAAGCGCTTGTATGATGAAATGACTTGTGTGCAGGTCGCGATTTTTGTGGTGTAGATTATCTATATGATTTCATACGACATCCATGAGATGGATCGAATAATTTATTTTGTAGCTTAGGAGACACGAGCATGCGGCTCAACTGATGGTAAGTGGTCATTCCCGATCGTAACACCGGGTACTTGGTGATATATTACGATTCACTTCGTTGATTTCGACCCAGAGATGAGAACAGTATTCCACGTGTGTTCGAACTGGTGCCTCGTATGGAAAGGTGGTGGCGTGGTAATTATGGCAAATATCCTCCTTATGAATCTATCTATGAGGAAGCCTATGTTTAGCAGTGAACTTTGATAGGGTGTAATGAATGTACGAATGAATGAACGGAGAGTATATCTTGATATACTAAAGTTAAAGTTACAACCTATGTACTTCCCAGCTGGGTACAGGCCTCCTCTTATTTCTGACAGGGTTTTAGGAAAAATTCCGCCGCGCTGCCCTGCGCCGAAATACTAAAGATTAGAGAAATTTCTTCGTACTCAATTTGTTATTTTGTACTTTGTCTTACCGAAACTCCACTTTGCGCCATGAATATCATACTCTGAATTTGAGCTTGCAGCGCAATGGGTCCTATACATGATCCAATGTATAAAATATTTTCCGTGTCCTCCGTTGTACATTTCCTCATACTTTCGATTACGTTATTTGCATAATCGAGTGCGCCGACCGATTGTGCGTGGAGGCTAGCTATCATATAGCTAAGTTGTTGTATTCGGTCGTCTACACAAGCCTTGGTATGGACAAATGTGTGGTTGATAAGATCCTCTGCTTGTTGTTCGTGGGACTGAAATGAGCAAAGTTATATATATGATTATACATAGTTATTTTTAGTAATAAAAATGTAAAAACATGATTGAATTTTTATATGTATGAATAACCAGTGTGATAGTATGGAGGGCCAGTATAATTAAAAACAATAAGGCGTTCTATCTTAGTCTTCTTGTTTTTACTATGGGTCGGCTCGAGGGACCATCCTCTAACAGTATTAGCGTAAAACAACAGAATAACGATGCTGTGTTTGAGAGTGTGTGTGTGTGTGTATAGAATCGCATACTCTTATGCTACGAGACATTCCAATCTCACTTTTCCGAGGTGACAACGCATATTTATTAGTTGTGTATCGCCAGCAACGCAAAGTGAGAAATATGAATTTAGAAAAACCCAAAATTAGGAGATTTTAGGTGCTAATTAGGCGCCAAGTTTAAAAATTAGGTGCTCTAAAATTTTCACCGTAACGAACTGTTAAAATTTGCGTTGCTAGCAAAACGTATCGCTAGCAGCAGTGAAGTTATTAGATATAGGATAAATATTAATAGCAAGGAATTAGTGCTAATTAGGTGCTGCAAGTATAAGCAATTACAAGGTGCCCCTAATAAAAATAAAGTCGTTTTATTCAGAACCCCGCAACTTCGGCTTATTGGTCGTCTTCAGCGACCAGCTTCAGCCTCTACGGCTCGCACAGATGCCTGCGATTTGGCCACAGCGTGCGGGGGCTGCTCTCCCTCCGCGCCTACGGCTTTACAAAAACACTAGGGGCAGACACGACTACGTGAAGTCGGGGCGTTCTGATTCGGTTTTAGTACATATTCGACCTATAATAAATAACTGATAAAGAACAAAAAATGCCGATCATGCCTTATAGTAAGGTAACGGTGGTCTTGAACCCGATAATTCCCAGAATAATTCCGTTATCTACATCCGACCTCAATAATCTTTCAGCACTTATTTAGCAGTTAATTCCTTGCTATTAATATTTATCGTATATCCATTATCGTCACTGCGTTGCTAGCTATACGTTTTGCCAGCAACGCAAATTTCAACAGTTCGTTGCGGTGAAAATTTTAGAGCACTTAATTTTTAAACTAGGTACTTAATTAGCACCTAAATGCCCCTAATTTTGGGTTTTTCTAAATGCAAATTCCTGACTGCGTTTCTAGCGAGACACAGCTATATTTATTCTTAATCATGAATATTATAGCTTAATATAGACCAAAGCAATAAATTAACTTCAGGTATTAGATGGTAGGACTTATTTTCTGCCAAAGAGCCCGTCTGGTACTACTCTTTCCTTATTTAAAGTTGGTTGTGGGTGTCTATTGGCTGCAGTAGCTAATTACCATCAGGTGGACTGTTAGTTCGCTTGTCACTTTAATTCTATTAAAAAAAAGGTTAAACTGTGTGCTTGCCTTACCGCTTTACTACCGAATTACTTGTATAAAGATTTGTTGTAAGTGTTCATGGGCTCTAATGGTCTCTAGTCATCAGGTGGCTTGTTAGTTCGTTTGTCAATTTTTGAAAAAAAAAAAAAAAACAAATTAAGACTAATACATTGGCATCGACTTCCTAACTTTTACATTTTATTGTAGCCACATTACATTGTAGCGTGACTCTATCTCATATATAATGTGGCTGTGCAGTATGGTTAGCTCGACCGAGTAGAAGCGACGCTTGGACAGAATTCCAGCGTAATATACAAGCTCAAATACAGTGTAATTCTGCTGCGTGGTTACGAGAACCGGAAATCTTTTTAGTGATCTTTTTACACCGTAACGTTAGTACTGAGCGGACGTGTTACTTGTCATTCTAATTTTATCTGATAGTGACAACAATCAAATATAAATCTTAAAGTGTCTAAAGTAAAGACGACAATCTTGTGCACTAGATAAAGAATTTTACTCTGTCATTGTTTGTGCGAACTGTTTAGCAGTGTTTTTCGCTTAGTGAATCCCCACACCTCACCCCCTCGAGTAAAGAGCACATGCTCTTAATTTTTTATCCTACTTGACGTTCGAAACAACTGTATTACAGATCTCATTAAACTGGTTCTCATACATTATGAACGTTCAAAGATCTCCGCCTGTGGCTAAAGTTGGTCTTGCTAGCTGCCAGCCCGATCTTGCTAAATGTGATACTGAGGTTACACAGCAACGCAATACTACCCTCCGAGGATCAAAAAGAAAACAACCAGAAGAAACAATGAAATTAGAATTAAATTACTTTAGGAAAGAGATGATGTCCTTTCTTACCGATTTCAAAACTTCCTAGGATGAGAATA